GAAGCTGGAAGGCGGAGGTTGCAGTGAGCTGAGATTGTGCCACTGCACTCCAGCCTGGGGAACAGTGTGAGACTCCGTGTCAAAAAAAAATTATTTTTAAAAAATGATAATGCTTACCTCATAGGGTTACAAGAATTCAGCTGGTGTGAGACGATGCATGGGAGTCTGAGTACAGTGTCTGGCTCATGGTTAGGGCTCAAGAATGTTACTAAAGTGACTAGAAAATAGTTTGAACTCCAGGGTGTGGGCATGAGAGGGAAGCCTTGCCACCCAAGTAGGGACTGGGTATAAGGGCCAGGTGTGAACCCAGAGTATGGGCTGGAAGGCATAGATTGATGGTGATGGGAATGTCACCAGGTAGAACAGAATAGTGGGAACTGTCCATGGGGCTGGCCACAAGTAAGGGGTTGGAGGAAACCCCATGAGTCAGCCAGGTCCAGAGCACTGGCTTCTGTGCCTACTGTCATCACAGAAACTCTCTGGGGTTCCATGCCCATTTGGAATGCCCCCTTCTTTTTTCCTCATGCCTCCCTTTCCGGTTTCCCATGTCCTGTTCTCTTGAACCCCCTGCCTGTTCCTGGTGACTGAACTCCCTTGCAATGCGTTCCCTGTTCCGCAGTCTCACAGCCCCCAGTGCCAGTGTTTGTCCCTGAAGTTGTTCCTCCATCTCAACCCTCTCCCTCCTTCCAGTCCTGCACTTCTTCCTCGACGGCCGCTGGGGTGCAAGCCGAGAGCGGCTGGCCATCAGCAAGGACCAGCGAGCAGTACGGAGTGTTCCAGGGCTGCCCCTGCTGCTGGCTGCTGACCGGCTGCTGACCGGCTGCCACCTGAGTGTGGATGTGGTCCTGGGCGACGTGGCTGTGACCCAGGGCCGCAGCTACTGGGCCTGCGCCGTAGACCCAGCCTCCTACTTGGTCAAGGTGGGCGTCGGGCTGGAGAGCAAGCTTCAAGAAAGTTTCCAGGGTGCCCCCGATGTGATCAGCCCCAGGTCAGACCCCTCTGGAAGGGATGGAGTATGGGGGTCCTGGTGGAAGTGAGGGGCACGGAAGGGGTGGCAAGCAGAGCACAGACTTGCTAGAGTGGGATGGGAGGGGATTAGGAGGAAGTAGTAGGAGCATGGAAGCCAGGCTGGGAGGCCTGTGGCCAGGAGAGGCATGGGCTCAGCAAAAGGGCTTTTGAGGACTGATTTTCAGAGCGTGGTGTGTGGTCAGGGAAAGGGATGATAGAAGAGGGAGCCATCTCTGCTTCCTTCCAACCATCTGCCACTCTGGACCAATACACCATCTCTCCAAGCATCTGTATCCTTTCTTCCTAACACTCCATTTCCAACATCCCTTCTCCATAAAACCTTTGCTCTCCAAGACCTCCTTCACCCATATCTTAAAATTCTTCCCTTAGCTGGGCACAGTGGCTCACGCCTATAAACCCAGCACTTTGGGAGGCCGAGGCAGGCAAATCACTGGAGGTCGAGAGTTCAAGACGAGCTTGACCAGCATGGAGAAACCCTATCTCTACTAAAAATACAAAAAAATTAGCTGAGTGTGGTGGCACATGCCTGTAACCCCAGCAACTCGCGAGGCTGAGGCAGGAGAATCCCTTGAACCCGGGAGGTGGAGGTTGCGGTGAGCCAAGATTGTGTCACTGCACTCCATCCAGCCTGCGTGACAAGAGCAAAACTCCTTCCAAAAAAAAAAAAAATCTTCCCTTAAACATCTCACCTCCATAACCCTCCTCTCCCCAACTCCCTATTTAAAACTCTCCCACTAATGCTTTTCATCCTAAGCCTTCTCCCCAGCACTCTGTCCCCCAACACCTTATTTCTTCAAAATGCTTTCTCCCCAACACAAATCCCCTCCTAGACCCCATTGTCCCCAACCCCGCATCCCTCTAACACCGTTCATTTGTGACACCAATCCACCCTCATCTCTCTCCCGATACCCACCTTCCCAACATCCTTTCTCTTCTTAGTCACTAATTTCGGATTCTTCCAACGTCTTCTCATCCTCAGAACCATCTCTCCAGCATGATTTCCCCAACACCATTTTTCTTGACGCCTTTCCATGTGCTGTACCAATGCTATGTCTTTCCCGTCCCCCCAGCCCCTCTTGCCAATGTGCTTTCCTCTCAGTGCTCTCTTTCCACCAAACCCAAACCCCTGACCCTATACTCCAACCTGCCTCTTCAGCGTTTTCTTCTCAACACCCAAAATCCATCCCTTCTACCTCTTGCTCCTCAACATTCCATCCTTCCAGCGTCTCCCTCTGGTACCTCATCGGTCACTCCATCCCTCAACAATCTCATCCCCAACACCCGCTTCTGCAGGTACGACCCGGACAGCGGGCACGACAGCGGTGCCGAGGATGCCACAGTGGAGGCGTCGCCGCCCTTTGCTTTCCTAACCATTGGCATGGGGAAGATCCTGCTGGGGTCGGGGGCAAGCTCAAACGCAGGGCTGACGGGGAGGGACGGCCCCGCAGCAGGCTGCACAGTGCCCCTGCCGCCTCGCCTGGGCATCTGCCTGGACTACGAGCGGGGCCGGGTTTCCTTCCTGGATGCTGTGTCCTTCCGTGGGCTCTTGGAGTGCCCCCTGGACTGCTCAGGGCCTGTGTGCCCTGCCTTTTGCTTCATTGGGGGTGGCGCAGTACAGCTCCAGGAACCAGTGGGCACTAAGCCTGAGAGGAAAGTCACCATTGGGGGCTTCGCCAAGCTGGACTGAGCCTTCCAGGTCCCTCATGCAGACCTGGGGTCCTCATGGGCCCTGGCCCCCAAACCTCTTGGCGCCGGGTTGTTACCCCCTGGAAGCTTCTCCCCCAAACTCTCCTACCATGTGGCCCTGCCCCTTCTCCCGTGTCTGTGTCTTCTCACGGTTTTCTCTTGACCCAGGGGCTCTCTTCTGCCCACCTCTCTGGATGGCCCCCGTTCTCTCCATTGCCTGTTAGCCAGGCCCCCACCCCCACTGAGTCTGCCCTATGACCTGCCTTTGGCATGTTACCCAAGCTATGGAGAGAGCCCCTTCTCCATCCCTGTCCTGTGCTCCCCAGGCTGATTGGGCCGGGCACCTGAAACACTGGGCATGATCTCCAGCTCTGCCCTTGCCCTGCCAAGCTCCCTGCCCTGTTGATGCTGAACTACAGCCTTGGGACAGGCAGGCTTTGGGGCTGGAAGCTGTCCAGGCACTCCTGGTGACGGGAAGGGGACCCTGTCATCCTGCTTTATTTATTTGGGTCCCGACCCCCTGCAGCCGCATGCCCCTTACGTCCCTCTTCTCCCTCTTGCATGCTTTTACCTGTCCCGCACCCACGCCAATGTGCCAAGTCTCCCTTGGGGACCCAGCTGAGTCTGGGTGTTCCCATTGGGTTCGGCCAGGCAAGGCCTCTGGTGCCCACTGCTGTCCTCCTGCAGTGGGCTCTGCTAGGCCTGTGCTGAGCAACAGCTGTTATTGTCATGGTTTATAAATAATAAACTGTGATGCCAGGCACATCTCTGCTTTCCCTGAGCACAATCATTCCTGTTAGTTTCTGTGCTGGGTGTGGTGGGCGGGAGGGGGCAGGGTGCTAGGCTGTGGTTCTGGGCAGGGGCAACCAATGGATCTGGTGCCTGAGGGAGGAAGGCCCCAGGCTAGGCGCTCTAAGCCTCCTGCCACACGTGTCCTGACCCCACCTGAGCCCACCACAGCTGCCAGGAGACATAGCTCTCTGGCTGCTGGCAGCAGGCCCCAACCAGGGCATCCGGGCCTGCCCTGCAGCACCAGGCCCTGGGGGAATGCGGTTGAGGGGACAGGCAATGTGCCTGGGCCCAAAGGGATCAGGGAACCAGAACCACTTCCCCATTCCCAGGGTGTTGTGGAGCCCACCCCAGGGGCAGCAGGCTGGTGGAGCAGCCGGGGTCAGGGAGGGGGCTGGGCCTGGTGCCAGCACCTGGATCTGACCCAGCCTCCGCTTATCTCAACCCTGTTGACTCTGGGCTGTTATCACTGCCCAAGGATTTACTTCACACCTGGACAGCTAAGAATAGAGCCACCTGGGGGCACTGTGCCAGGGGGCAAGGAGGGCGTGGGCCAGGCGAAGAGAGGGGAGAGCCACTGGCACACAGAGCCCAGTCACGGAGCCCAGTCATGCTAACCCTCCAAAACCCGCCTGGGTTTCGTTTCCTCCTTCCGCTTGTGCTGCCAGGGTTAGCCAGAGGTGGCTCCTCAGGCCACCCCTACACCCCAACGTTACCTCCTCCTCACATCTCCTGCTTCTCAAACAAACCCGCTCCTTACTGCCTCCTGGCCTCCCTGTCTCCTCCCCCAGGCCTCTCACACACATTCTGACCGCCCTGCTGCCCACGGGCCACAGATGAAAGATCAGAAGTTGGCGCAGCGGGAGGCCACGTTTTATTCAGTCCTGTTCAGGTCCCCTGCTACCTCCGGGCTCTCTGGGCCAGTCCTCCTGGGAGCCCCACTGCAACACTTCCCAGGCATAAGCCCTCAAGGGCCCCCATGAGCTTCCACAGACCGAGAAGGTTCCGAGAACTTGGTGGGGCCTCTGAGGAAGGCTGTGAGCAGCCCACCTGAACTCCCAGCTCACCAGCCCAAAACAGGGTGCAGGGGCTCTGGCCCTGAAGAACCTGAGTGGGGTGGACTGGCACTGGCTGGCCAGTCAGCTCAGTAGGCGACGTGCCCCTACAAGTTGGCAGAAGTGGCTGCCACTGCTGGGTTTGTGTAAGAGAGGCTGCTGCCACCATTACCTGCAGAAACCTAGGTGGAAGGAAAAGAGATCCAGGGTGAGGAGCAGAAGGTACCTCCTAGAGCCCCTGGATGCCACCCCAGGCTGGGGTAATCAGTCCAGAGTCCTGGCCAGCTCTCAAAGGGCTTATTCAGAGAGAGCACCTGCCACCCCACCAGTCAGTAACTGTAAACAGGGCTGCCCTCCTCCCTCTGCTCTCCTTCACTTCCTCTTCTTGGCTCTAATCAGCCGCCTTGTCCCCCTATTCTCCGCTGTTCCAGCCAAAGAAGGTGTGTAGGTGTGTGTGTGTGCGCGCATGTGTGTGTGTGTGTGTGTGTGTATCTGTGTCTTTGTAAAACCGAGAGAGGGAGGTCTCCAGGACGAGGAAAATAGAAGCAAGAAAAATAAACTCCTCTCTCCTCCCCAACCTGGAGTGGTTTTCCAGCCTCAGGTGGCTGCAGTAATTATTTACTAGGTCCCACAGAGAAAAGCCAGGAGAGGAAGGAGGGAGGGTTCCTTACTTCCTTGAAGCTCCCAAGAACCCAACTGGCACCCAGGCTCACCTGGTCTGCTGACACTTCTTCCTCTACCTGGGAAACCTCCCCCTACACCAGCCTTTCTCGGTCTACCCTCTATTCCTAGGAGATGATTAGGGGCACAGGGGCTCACCCCTGTGACTCCTCAGGAAGGGCTCCCCTGGGCATAGTGCTCTACCCATTTTGCCTCTGGGTGCAAACAAAACAAAACAAAACTGCTGTGGTGGCACCAGTTCAGCCAGGGCCAGCCAGCATGAATGTGGACAGCCAATGCTCTTTTAGGAATTCTGGTAGTGGGGCCACTCCCTCTTGAGGGCCCCTTTCTTTCATGGTCTCCTCCCAGGCCTGTCCCCCAGAACTCCTCTGACCTCTGCCCCCCGATCCTTGCCAGGTCCTCCTCTGCTCACTTCATGCCACTTCTCACCTCTTCCAAGCTCTTTGGGTTTTCCAAGTACCCCCTTCAGAACCCTTGCCCAGCCAAAGCCTCTGCCTCCCCCGGCCTGTGGGGCCCAATCTCACCTCCTCATAGGGGCTACGATTGGTACCACCAGCGGGCACATAGCGCCCATGGGTGTGGTAGGTGGGGTACTCGCTCATAGGATGGTAGGCATCCCGGGCGGGAAACATGTCCAGCTGCCTGTAGTTCTTTTGGCGGCACTGACAGACAGCCTGGGGAAATAGGAGGTTATGGCAGACCATGGAGTGCTTTCTGTCGGCGGGGGGGAGGGCACTGATCAGGGCCAGGGACTGCACTCACCAAGGCAATGAAATAGACGATGGCCAGCACAACCAGAACACAGACTAGCACCAGGAGCGCAATGCCCCAGCCTGGCACCCCAGCCCCGGTTTGGGCAGAGAAAGGAAATGGCACATCACGCACTAAAAGGAAAAGCAGTGGTTAGGGCAGTCTCCCAGAGGAGGTGCGCCTCTAACTGCCAGCACTGAGGAAAAAGTGGGGAACTAGACACTGGAAGGAGAGGGGCCCCAGCATGGTGCTGGGCTGCAGCCAGGGAAGTAGCCTCACCGCTGATGTCTGAGATCGTCAGGTTATATCGAGAGGCTGCTTCCGTTTTACGTTGATTGAACTGTGTCTCCACATCGTGGACATTGGTGGTACCTTCTCGGAAGACCAGAGTCGATTGTACCACCACAGATCCTGGCCTGGTCACAGGGAAATGGGCACTTCAGCCACGGGTCCCAGCTCTGGCTCAGGACTCTCCCCCAACCTTGAGTGCACCAGTCCCTCCTTACGGTCATGACCAACACCCACCCTCCAACCACCACACTGAGTCCACACCCAGAACTATACCTGAACATAATATTGGAGAGGCCCAGAAAATCCCCTTGTTTATAAATCTGCAAAAACTGGGGTGAGAGGGAAAGGACTCAGGCTTGATGCAAAGGGTGTAGACAGTTCTGATGGCTGCTTCAGGGGAACATGGGAAAGGAAAGGCTGATACTCACCAATTCAGAAATGTCTCTCTGCAGCTGTTGGTAGTAGTTGGTGCTGGGATCTTCCAGAGAGGAATTAAACTGAAGGTTTGAAATGTGAAAAGACAAGAAAAAGAAAGAGACCCCAAGAGACAACTGGGGAGAAGTGCTGTGATTGGAGGAGGTGAGAGGAGGTACTGTGCTATGGTGAGTGCTACTGGCATCAGTCTTGGTGCTGTGGCTGGCAAGGGTGGTAGGAGTATCAGAGTGGTGGCTGGGAATTGAGAATGGAGTGCTCTTGCTGGCTGGGGTGGTGGTAGCCCTGGCAGAGGTGGTGCTGTGCACCAGAGTGGAAGCTGAGCCTGATGCAGAGTCTGAGGCCGAGGTGACATCGTGGGCTGGGGGTGCGGCGGAGCCCGGGGCTGCACTGGTGTCCGGGGCCGAGGTGACATCGTGGGCTGGGGGGGCGGCGGAGCCCGGGGCTGCATTGGTGTCTGGGGCCGAGGTGACATCGTGTCCCAAGGTGGTAGTCGAACCTGTGGCTGGTTCTATGGCCAGGGCTGGGGTGACGTCCTGTCCCTGAGTGGTGGAGGAGCCTGAAACGGGGCTGTGGCTGGAGAGTCTGCTGGTCATACTCACAGCATTCTTAGTAGAGATGGGCATTGAACTTCTTTGGGTAGCCGAAGTCTCCTTTTCTCCGCCTGGGGTAGAGTTTGTATGACCAGAACTTGTAACAACTGTTGTGGGTTCAGGGGCTGTGGCAGCTGTGATAAGTTAAAGTAATAGGGTTGGGTTGAAGAAAAAATAAGAGCAAGAAGAAAATACAAGCTCTGGCCACCAGAGAAATAATACCAGGAGGACTGGGGAGTGGGCAGCCTCAGCAGCCCCTGGGTTGGCTGCCTCCTTCCCTGCAGCAGCCTCCTTCTGTCTGCCCACAGGCCTCAGCTCCTGGCCCCTGCATTTCTCCCCTCTTAAGCCTTCCCTCTCCCTACTCCCTTCCCCCTAGACTTCTCTTCAGGACATTTGCTTGCCCCTGGCACCCACTCTTAGGGGTGGGGGCATCTCTTCTCAGCCTGTCCTTAGCCTCTCCCTCCTTCTGGCACAGACAGAATTCTTGCCTTTCATGGTGCATCTGCCAGGGAGCAAAACCCACAGAAAGACCACGAAGACCACCTAAGCAGGGCAGCCCACTCCCCACCTTGTGCCCCTCACCTGTAAGCACTGTGAGGATCAGGAGCAGGAAGAAAGGAGACTGGGTGCCTGGTGTCATGGTGGTGGTGGACTGGGTGGGGAAAGGGCAGAACAGACTCAGGCAGGCGCTGCTTGAGAGGTGGAGCGGGCACAGGCGCCTGCTGCTTTATACCAGTCCCCCTGGCCCCCCTCCCCCC